AGTATGCAGATGAGTGTTCATTGTGAGTTGTACGGGAGTGGGCTCTATCATGTGACTCTGCAGTGTGCAATACAACTGCGAACGCCTGAAAGTGCAAAGTAATGAATAGCCCATCGGGTATGGCACTGTGATGTGAAGTACTTCAGAAGGTTTGCCATTTTAAACACTATGACTCCAGCGGCTCCACCATTTAGTCAAAATTTAGTAAGAGGAGCGTGTAGTGACTTATGTAATATGCTTGAGAGATCATTTAGAAGCACATTCAAGTTTGGCCGATAAATCGCAAAAATTTAGTTTCACTTTCCATGAGTTATTCTACTTTCGTATTTTAGGCAGACGCATCAGTCACTGCCCATGGCGGTCCTAATCCTGCGCCAGCATCTGAGCTTCGGCATGAAACAACCGAAGTAGACTCCTTCACTACACCTGTCCCAGGTCAATCTTGGACATCCTCTGGGTCTTCGGTTTCTTTGCAATTTGCTTTGCCTTTCTTTCTGGAGGCATTTCGCAACAAGTGCCCAAACCACTGCAGCGGTGACTTCTCAGTCTGAAGAAGCAGTAGCTATACACAAGGCTGTCTCAGGTTTCTGTATTTCGGATCACTTCGAAACACGCAAGGTCAGCGACTCGACTCAGAAAACCCATTTCAGCGGCTTGCACATGGGACCATAGTTTTTCAGTAATGGTCCACGATTCATGACTGTAGGTAAGCATGGGGATAAAGATCGACTTGAATACCAAGAACTTAGTTTTCAGACTGAGCTCTGTTTTAGTCACAGTGGGTCGGGCTAGTTCACGCAGAACGGCACTAGCTACTCCAATTTGCCGGTCGATTTTTTCCTCAAGTTTTCCATCACTAGTAAATATAATTCCGAGGTACTTGAACTTCTCCACCTGCTCCACTGCTTCTCCTTTAATCTGAAGAGAGCAACGGGCAGGAGAACGAGAAAGCACAAGGCTTTTCCCTTTAAACGCATGCCAGCCACGTCGCACTCAGCTGCGAACCATTCTAGAGAGCGCTGTAAATCAGTTTCAGAAGATACAGAACAAGCAAACAGCAACCTTTTAGTCTCCCATATTGACACACTTATCGCCTTGGCTGCGCCTTACAATTTTATAGAAGCACAACAGGAACAGTAGAGGGGCCAGGACGTAGCCTTGGCGGAGACCAGTCCCAATGCTGAAAAGTTTCGATTTAATGCCAGTTACAGTCAAGATAAAACAACTCGATGTTGAAGGGTAGTTTTCGATAACCCCCTTAAATATATAGCATTAAAAATATCGATGCCAGCTTGAAACAGCGAGAACGCCCAGTATAAAGAAAAAAATTCGTTTCCTATTTTACACCGATACTGCGGTAGTGCAAGAGATAGAATTATCACTTGTAGCACCGTATTATTGCATAACTTTTTTGCTTCTAGCAGCCTAGGGGCACCATTCAAGCAAGCCGCGGATCCATGGTATTTAAGCGGCTGTAGTTCAAAGGATGCGTGGTCGCATCTTTTAGTTGGGTTGAACAATGGCATATTCAAGTTCATACGCATTTGCTGCTTATTTTATGGCATTTAATCTGACGCAGCCATACTCTCAGCTCATAGTAATTGGCTGGCCCCGTAGCAACTGGTTACTAACCCCGTGTGTTCGTAGGCACGTTCATAGATTGTTAATCCGAATCCGTTTAAACGCTTTTCTACGTACATAAAACATAAATCGAATCAACAAACTCCCACGATTTTTCAACAATTTGGCTTTGGACGAGTATCTGATCCAACTTGCTTCTGCCGGGCAGGAAGCAACACTTCTTTTTTTGTTTTGGAGCCAGTTATTCTGTGGAACTACCTTTCTAGCACCTTTGCGTAGACTCTATCCGGAAGACTCAATGGGGCAACGACCCTTCTTAAAAATTAGTCCTATGACCCACGTTTCCCAGTCTGCTGGCATCCTTTCCGTCGCAACTACAGCTTTGCTAAAGAACGTAAGCCAGCACATATCTTATTCGCCCCAAAATGCTTTCGGCATTTCAGGCGCACATTTTATTAGTTCCAGCAGTCTTTTCATTTTTCAGACTTGTCACAGCTTGTGAAATTTCATCTACAAAGATAGTCACATCCGTTAGCTGCTGCTCTAAAGGTGAGTTTTCCTGCAGTTGCACGGGGTTAAGGAGTTCTTAAAAGTAGTCTCCCCATCGCCGAAGGATGTCCTCGGTAAGAGGGTGTCCAGACCTGTCCTTTGAGACTCTTAGACTGCCTTCGGAGGCAGTGGATGTTTGCCAGAATACCTTTTCCGCCGCCTAGAAATTCAATTCCAATACATTACCGAACTTCTCTCAGTAATCAGCCACTGAATTTCGTTGCTGCTTCTGCTGTCGCGGTAATGCTTCCACATATCCGATTTAATTGAAGACCCTTTGTCTCCAAAACATTTCCTGAATGCAGTCTTTTTCCAGCTGACAACCAGTTTTACCTCTTGCGCCAACAAGGAAGTTTTTTTCTGACCTCCAGATGGCAGGCCAACCCGACTGAAGCCGCAACATTGAACGGCAGATCATAGTAAGCCGCTCTTAAAGAGCTCACACTCAGTTTCCAAATCAGCGGTCACTACCAGGTTCAAATCGTCGGGTGATATTGTTTTCAGGTTTCACTCTTGTATCCGCCGAAGAAAATGCTTTCCATTTGAATCTCTGACTGCTTCTGCTACCAAATCGTCGCATTGTTCCCCATCTCTCATAAAGTAATGTGTCAACGGCGAAGAGATGATCGGTTGACTGCGATCGCTTCGCTTATCCTAAAGCGAAAATCTATCACAGAGTGACGTCAGTTACACGATACAATTATCAGATCGATCATCGAATTCTGTGGACATGCTTCCCTGTACCAGATATACTGATGCCCCTTTTGATGCTCGATAAAGACGACCATTATGCACAGTCCTTTATTTTCACAAAACCACAAAAACTTAATGCCGTTATTGTTGAGGACATTAAAACCATTCTTTGCATTCACGCTTTTTCGTCTTTTAATCTCTGCTCTGACATGTGCATTGAAATTGACGATTAGAATGATGGATTCCATAACCAATACCTAGTACAGAGATCCTTTTACTTCTAAGAAAGATTTAGCGCATAGACCTGGAAGAAGGTCATAACTTTAGTCTATTGCAGCTTCAGTCGGATGACTGCCATTTTTTTGTTACCAGGTTTCAATCCAGGTTAGGTTATGCTAGAACACCAAAACCGGCCAGAGCGCGTCGTCATATCAATGCTAGAATAGAACAGCTTCCACTCCAGATGCTTAGAATTCCAGAGCCTTGGATCTTCGTGGACGAGAGTTCAACAATATCGAGTTGCTACCTTGCGGCTTCGTTAATTAGCTGCTGCTCCTTCTCTCTGAGCGAGGATATATCGCAATTTCCGAATGTCGATTCTTTCCCGTGGAGCCTTTTCTCACATGCTAAAATGGCATCACGTTGTGTACATTTTCCATTCGGAGCGGGTTGCTGCTTTATTGCCAATTGACATTTTCACAGCCGTTTTGTCGATCTTCAGTAGCTGCTGCCATGCTGCTGAATCATCGGCTGCCAGAAGGAGGAGGTGTGTAAGCTCTAATCGCCTACTTTTCGTCGCTAGTGTCAGTCCAAAAAATAGCCTGCGCTGCCTTTGGTAACTTGGGCGGTGGCGGATCCGGTATTTAATGACAGCAATGCAATGAAGAAAACGTGATTAAGCTTTACGAGCAATTCTGTACGGCCTACAAACCTCCTATTTCTCATGGAGTTTCAGAGAGTTTTAGTAGTTTTACGTTATTGATCGCTTAAGTTTTGTTGTACTTGCTGGTTAACCCTGCTTTATACCGTATCTGCCAAAGCAGCGTTTAATTTCAATTTCGCATGTACTGTTGTTTCCTCTTTGTCAAACTGTGTGTAATTGTTAATCGTGTTGTTCAAAACTGGTAATTATTTTTAATTTTATTTAAAGCCACTTTTATTAAAAACTTTTCTGTAGTCTTTTGCAGTTAAATGCTTACTCAGATATTCTGAAGGTTGTCCAGTTGTAGCCACCATCTTGTAAAATATTTTCGCTGTTCTGTTACTGAATGTTTATTTTAGTCTTGATAGTAGCTGTTGCTTCTTACTTATCAATTTTGGAATCTGTGTTACACGAGTTTGTGTTATGAATTGTTTTTTCGAATTCAAATCTAACATTTAGAATAACCGTTTTTTGAAGTTACATTGTTTGAATTAAAATTCCCGCAGGAAAATGATACATCTTAGCATGCTGTAATTTTTAATGCAGAAATCATTTTCTGATGGTCACTAGGTAAGCGTAACATGCCGTTCCTCCTACTACCGATGTAGACAGGTAAAGCCATGTGCACTAGTATATACACTTTCGACTGAATCACTTAGCTCTTGAAAGATGTAGATTCTTAGTCGCCCTCTAACATTACTCGTCAGGAGTAACATTTCCAGATGGAATAGCATTTGTTTTCCCTTATAGGTTCCGCTGACTTTTGGTTTTGAAACTTTTGAAATAGAAGACAAGTAGGAAAACTAGGAAACTAGGAAAACGAAGGTAAAATAATGAGTTAACTCTGTTTTGAAATCAACCGAGTGAGTATTTGGTTGTTACTTTCGTGACTACACTGAATATAGTCACAAAACAGTTTATTTTAAACACAACGTAGAAAATCTGGCCAGTAGGATAGTTGATCAGTACCGACAATATTTCACCCCGTGTTTCACCGGCCTTCAAGGTAAAGAGGTGAGTGAGCTTAAGGAGTCCTGGTCGTTTCCGTCAGCCCATAAGTTTGGGCCAGAGAAACACTGTTTGTGTTTTGTGCTGTTTTTAGAATATAATAAGGGCAATAAAACTCTTTCAACGTTTTGATAATTCCTTTTATTGTATTTCTTCCGAACCGGCTGTTCGTTTCATTTTTCGGAGCTTTGTTAATGTAATAAATTATATAACCTTCCTCCCCTTATAGTTTTAGGCGCACAAATCATATGCAACTTCAAATCAAGCATTGTTGCTTATCACATCAGTACTACTCTTTGACAGTGCGCTGTTTAATAGACAGTATATTTGCTTTTAAATTGAGTTATTGGAGGCTAACCTCCATTCTTCATGTTAATTAGTGTGTAGATTTTGCGTTTATTTGGAAATTATGATCGGAAAACGTAATGTGATGTACTTATGTACGTCTTGACATCTTTGCTAATATCACGATTTTTTAGATTCATATTGAAAATGTCCGGGGACATTGATAAGTTACAGCTAAAAAGCACTGATGTGGAGAAGATTTTGCTTGCAGAAGCGCACATTGGGTCCAAAAATGTCGATTTCCAAATGCAGCAGTACGTCTGGAAAAGAAGGCCTGACGGTAATAAACTTTTAAGTTTCAGACTGTATTTCGTAGCATTCATTAAAAATGGAAATGAAGCAATTTCACTTTATTAACATGACTGATGTTATTTCGATTTCCATATGTTTTATCATATTCGCTATTTTCGATCTCGGATCTCGTGGTCATAAAACCATGCAAACAGTCATGGTCTCCTTTAAAATTTTATCGTTGCAGGTCGCATGATGAATTTTCTGCTCATTTTCACTGCCTTATATAGAATAAAATTGAATTTTCATTAATTTTAGCTGCCTAATAATATTGTCAGTTTTTAATATCATTAATGTACTTCCTCAGAAAGTTTATAGTTTGTTATGCGACATAACGGCGTATATGTTGTATATCAAATTTTAACAGGTTATTCATTTCAAATCCAGATTATTCGTTTAGCTATAATGCAAGTAAACAGCCGAAATATCGCATCTCAAATATGCATAAAAACAAGCAGGAGTTAAGATTAATTTACGTAATAATAAGTTCATGCTTATTTGGCCAGCATTCTCTTTCTCATGTTTGACGGGATTTCTCATTGTGCTGGAAAATAAGGATAGAATCGTATAGCAATGGCAATAGCTCACTTTCCATGGGATTATATTAAAACAGCTCCCATTAACAAGGTGCATGAAACGGGCTCCCGAAAAACGATTAATGCAGGGAGAGAGTAGTTTTCTAATCTTGTTGCCTGAGAAGGTTTGAGAGAACTGTTGAATGCTGAATCTATGATCCGGATGATTAGCAAATTTCTGTCGATTTTTGATTACTGTGATCTGTAAGATCTGTACGCGAGGAATTGTCTTTTTGTAGTCCGATTAACTGCGGGGCTGATATATTATATAGGTGTCATGATAAAGTTATAGGCGAAGGAATGCAAAGTGTCTTCCATAGGAGGATGGCTTTCTGGACAAGCTTGGAGTTTCCTATTCTACCAGTCCAAAATGTCCTTTTTATTTATTTCAAGGTATTTTTTAACTGAACAAAGTGAATGGGTTCATTATTAATCAGAGCAACCCTAGTCTTCAAGACGAGATTGTTCCTAGACTTGTCGTTCTTCAAAAATAATGCCATCTGTTTACGTATATAAACGAGGTCATGAAACAGATCACAAAAGATACGACGGTACTCCGAATTATTAAATAACCTAGTAAACTGCGGTTGAAGAGACAAAATTCAAGAGACTTTCCTTTTCTAAAGTTTCACGCTCTCCTTCATGAAAGGAACCAGTATTCTTGCATGAAGTAGAATTGCTTGCTTTCGAATATTTTGTGAAGGCGAGGCTGTATTTGAAGGTAGACTTTTCCTTACAAAAAACTGTCTACCAGCTTTTTTTAATTTCACGCTTCTCTCAATTGAGACATTTCTCAAATGTTAAATTTGTAGAGAACAGTACCCTGTTTGATAGACATATTAAATTAATAAACCACCTCTGACATTTCCGTCTGTTGCTCCAAGGTCGTTCATGGCGAATTTCTTGTTCGTTTCTCTGCATGATTGTTATTCGCGAGATTATTTTTGTACATGTTTGAGCCTCGGGACTTATGCATGACGGCGATCTGTGAGGTACAAGTTGAAATACCATTCTTTTATATGACAACGATTGTCGATTGTTTTTATAGTATAGTTCCGATAATCATTTTACTGCTCAAGGAATAACCTAGAAGCTCTTCACCTTTCCTCCTCTGATCATTCATTCATTTTGGAAATATCCGCACGTACAGTGCCTTCTATGAACACAATTTAGTGGGGTCTACTATCTTCTTGGGTTGGGCTCCTTGATCTAATTTTCATCGAAGCTTTTGTGAGGAACGGTGCGTGTGGATGTTTACGAATCTGTCCTGTGGGTGTTTAGCATTTCCTGTTTTACCCTTTTTTCTATCAAAATACAGTGAAATCTTAATTTAACTTTTCACATTGAGAGGAAGCCTTTATTTTTCAGGTCACATTCTTTGTCTCGTTTAACATTGAATTCATATAGTGAAAGCCTCATTATAATGTAATAAATGACATTTCTTCAGAGATTCATTAAATAGGAGTTTTTTTTATGTTTCTTTCACTCTCGTGATATCATGACTCCCTTCGTTTTCTTCTTTTGATAGAAGATGCATCATAGATTCTTTTTTTCAGTTTGTTTCTGAGGTTTTTCTAAAGATTAACAGAGAATGTTTAAAACGGGAGGTTAGTAACATTTTCGCAGTTATTTTTGATATTTTATTGTTTTATGCTTTAATTGTTGTTTGTAGCGAATTCCCAGCAGATATATTTCGTTATATAGGTGTCCACATCATAAACATCAAGAAGATGTGGGAAAAATTGCTACTTGGTGCCAGGGCAATCGCCGCTATTGAAAATCCTGCCGATATCTTCGTTATATCCGCGCGGCCGTACGGTCAGCGACCAATTTTGAAGTTCAGTACTCATACGGGGGCAACACCTATCGCTGGTCGTTTTACTCCAGGTAATGATTAGATGATGCTGTTGTCTGCTAATTATTTCCTTTTGTTAACTTTTGCTTGCAGTTTTTTTGATGTTTCCAGCAACGGACAGGGGGCCAACCTCTGTAATTAATGTCTTATATTCGGCGAAGTAGCGTTGAAGGAATTGCATTTAAATGAAACAACGTTGGTAACCGTCCAGATGTCGTCTTTAATTGCAATCTATGATGACTGCCGTTGATACGTCGTTGTTTTATTGTGCTTATAGTGCGTCACTGATCTCGACTCATTTAACCAAAAGCGCTTAATTTATGAATTTAAAGCCTGCTTCATGTGGCACTGACAAAGCTTAATCTCCTATTTTTTATTCTAATTTATTTAATGTCAAGTGGAATGGCA